GCTCCAGTCGCGAAGTCAGAGGCATCGGCTTCTACTCTCATTGGACGACTATTGTCCGGGAATGCGAGTATAGGCGCAGTTGTGAATGCCTTTTTCAACTCCTCGAACGCAGCGTTCTCGACTGACGTCCACTGCCACCTCTCATCCTTTTTTGTTAAGTTATGCAGAGGTCTGGCTATTCTTCCGAAGTCTTTGATAAATCTTCGGTAGAAATTTGCTAGTCCGATAAACGATCTGACTCCTTTGACGTTCCTGGGAGTTGGCCACGAGGTAATAGCTTCGACTTTGCTCGAATGCATTTCTACCTTTCCTTTTCCGACCAAGAATCCCAGGACGTCAACTTGTTCTACCGAGAATGAACATTTCTCTGGTTTTATGAACAGGTCGTTATCTTTGAGCCTCTGTAGGACTTCTTTTACTTTTTCCAAATGGGCGTCTCTATCGCCATCTTTACTGAATATAAATATATCGTCTATATATACTACTACACAATCGTCCATATCGCCCAGTATATCGTTCATCATGTTCTGGAACGTGGCGGGCGAGTTACATAATCCGAAATACATAACTTCTGGTTCGAAGGAGCCCAGAGGCGTGGTAAACGCTGCCTTCCACTGATCTCCGTCTTTGATTCGTACATTGTTGTAACCCCAACGTAGATCCATTTTGGTGAACAGTTTTGCTCCTTTTAATCGATCTATGAGATCTCCGATCAACGGAATTGGATAATTATTTTTGACCGTCCATTTGTTTAAATAACGGTAATCCTGCACCATACGCTTTTTACCGTCCTTTTTTGGTATGAAGAACACAGGGGAAGTTTGCGGGGATTTGGAGGGTCGGATGTATCCCTTATCTAGCTCTCCTTTGATGAATTCCCGAATTTCTCCTAGTTCTTCTTCCGAAAGAGGAATGAGCCTTCCCTTTCTGGCAGTGAAGCCATCCATGAGCTCAATGGCATGGTCCCATGCTTTTCGCTCTGGCATGCGTTCTGACGCAATCTTTGAGAATACCGATAAGTACTCGTGTAGGGTTGGGGGCACCAAGGCAGCGGGATCATCTTGTGCTTCCGCTTTCTTGGTATCTAGATTGTCCTCGATCCTGCGAATGATTCTATAGATAGTTTCGGCAGAATCGATCTCCGAGTCTTTCTCCGTTTTCCTCCACTTGGGTTCAGGCCACAGTTCAAAGCAGTTGTGGGGACACCGGGACATTTTGACGTCACCGGTTTCCCAATTGATTTCAGGGTTGTGGTGTGCTAACCAGTTGAACCCGAGAATCATGGGCATTTTCCCAAGCTTTGTTACTTCGAATTGCGCCTTCTCTCTATGTCCCTTGTACTCGATCACAAGTTCCAACGAGTGTGTGATACTACCCGATGTGTTCTTGGATCCATCCACGTTGAATACTGTAATGGGGTGTTCCTTCTTTGTGAACTTGAAGCCTTGCTTCTTGCCCCAATCCCAATCTATAAATAGTCCTGTGGCTCCGGAGTCGAGAAGCGCTGAGCAGGCAATCTCGCGGTTCTCTTGTCGCACAGTTACAGGCATAAGTATCTCTTTGTCCATATTGTAGGTTCGTATCAATTGTTCAGGCGGGGATTTTATAGATATACTGTCTATGGTAGCTAATTTTTTATTTATTTCTTCTATAGGGGAATTAAGCACGGGTTTCCCACCGCCGAGCTGAGTTTCGCGAGGTTTTTCATTTTCGGGGGCCTTGGAACTCTCCATACATCGACTGGTCACTGGTGCGGGGGTCCTGCAGGATCGCTGCTGCCAGCCGCTCCCAGTGACATCTAACTCCTTTTGGGAGCTAGCCCCTACTGTTGCGTGGGCGACGTCTGACTGAGGATAAATACTAGGCACTCCCCTACTTCCTACTTCTCGCTGCGCGAACTCAGACCCCCCTTGGGTATGCATGCCCTGGTGGGACGTTAAGTCCGCTTCCGGGTCTTCTATCGTACACTCACCGAGTACATGGTACCTATTATATTTAAAAGTGTCTTTCAATGCTACACTGTCTGAATGGTTCGTAGAGTCCCGATTACCCCGCACATCAGGGCTCATTGTTCGTTTAAAGATTCATAGTCCCTGAAATAGGCCCTAGCGGCCTCGAAGTCCATGTCTTTGGTCGCGGCTTGCCACCGTAAGGGGGTAGCACTGCTTCCAGTTTGTGCCTCTGCTGTCTGAGGCTGCTCGATGAGTTTCCCCGAGTAGGGGTCGTATAGAGCACGGGTTTGATGACCCGTGGCGCCCTGTGGGCGACTTCCTTGCTGCTGCTGCTGTTGCTGCTGCTGCCGTGGCTGGCCTCCTCCTCTCCTCTGCGGACAGTCCCGCGCAAAATGCGGGCCTTGGCAGGTGAAGCACCCTCCTCTAGGGCCACTACTTGGCGACACTTGTGTTGCCCCGATTTCCATGGGTTCGCCCATGTATGGCGGTGCCCGCTGGTTTGCCGTAAAGGTCAACGGCCTCGGCTCGTAGTTGACCCTCCTCTTCCCGATCGCGATATTGTACTCCTCGATACGGACTCCAATGATGCGTGTTGCTTCATATAGTTTCCTGAAGTCCGTCTCGTGTTGTCCTCCCACTCGGTAGATTTCTTCTCGAATGGGGTTGCTCATATTTTTGATAAGCAAGTCTGTCGCGTGACCGTCTTCCACCTTGCCTTGTTCCTTCAGGATGAAGAACTCGGTCAGCCACTCTTCCACCCTCCTTTCTCCCATGCGAAGACCCAACATCTTCCTCCGAGCCCAATCCTTTGTTGAGCTTGGGAGGAATGCATCCGAGACGAGTTGTAACATGTCTTTCTCGGTGGGCCAAGGTTCAGATCCACCACTGTACAGATCGATGTGGTATTGGGCCCATTTGGCCGGGATCTTCCCCTTCATACGTGTGAGAATGGCGGAGGTTTTATCAAAGTTTGTTGGCAGCGCGCTGGCATTGGCGAAGAGCCATAACGCCATTCTACTCTTCCAGGGGGCGAAGTTCCCTGGTTCTCCGTCAAAGTCCCCAGGATCTTTGACACCGACGATCTTCTTTTCTATGGCGGCCGGGCCAGGTTGTGCGTGCTGGATTTCTTGATAGGCTTCCAGCTGCCCTTGGAGACGCGCAATCTCGGTTGCTTGCGCTTGCGCCAGGTCATGAGTTTCCCGGCGTTGTCGGGTAAGCGCGTTGATTTCGTTTTGCGCTTCTCCAAGGTCCGTCACAAACTGGACCTCCATACGATCTATCTGTCTCCAGATGGCGATCGTTTGTTCGATTGTGAAGCCGTCATAGGGTTCTGTCGGTTGAGGCATTGTTCGTAACAGTCCGAATGTTCAAGTCGTAGGATGATATAAAAAGACAAATATAGTAAACAGCGTCGGGCCGCTGTGACTCTGTTGGGGCCAATAGCCTTTCCCCACACTTGACTATAGTAAAGAGAATACAGGAGATACTCCAAACAACGAGATGCACAGGTGACTTCTGTG